TGCTTTAGAAGATGACATATGGGGCGACGCATATAAGATAACAACGAAGTCACTAAAGATGATTGCTCCATAGAATTTAGACGAGGACCAGCGGCGAGAAACGACGGAGCTCCTCTTTCCCGCCAAGGAGGAACAAACGTCCCTGAAGGTTTCCCTTGCAGTGGTGGAGGAATTCAAAGAAGAAGAAATAAAGGCTACTGGCCAAGAAAACAAGACGGGGAAAGCTTCCAGCCGCGATGGACTGCCACAGAGGCGCTGACAATAGCAATAACAGAGAAACCAGGTTTGATCAGAAAAATATATAATGGTATACTGCGGAAGCAAGTTTCCCAGGAAACTAAAGAAAGCAAATGTGATTGTACTCCTAAAGCTTGGGAAACCACCCGATTCAGCATCCTCTTATAGGCCAATATACCTACTGGACTGCCTTGGCAAGTTCTATAAGAATCTTGTAAGGTAGAGGCTAGAAGGCGTGTTGGCAGATAAGAGAGCTCTATTCAACCAACAATATGGATTCAGACAAGGTCGATCAGCAGTCGACGCCCGCGATCTAGATAAGAAACGCGGTAAAAACAAGCTAATAGAAATGGGTGGTACTTGTTTTATTGGACATTAAAAACGCCCTTCAATTCAGCGAACTGGGGCCTCATCGTAGATAAGATTGTCGAACTTGGAACCCCGGAATATGTGTCCAATATTAAAGGACTATCGCAAAGAAGCGTATGCATATCGAAGAAAAATAAGATGCAAATGACTGCTGAGGTACCCATGGAATATATTATACAACGGGTAGTAGAAGAAACAAAACACAAGGCGTAAGAGCTATTGCATAAGCAGAGGACCTAGCCCTACTTATAGAAGATATGAATTAGGGTATTATAAACAAAGTAAATGAAGAAATAGAAAAAACTGCGAGATGGATAGAGAGAAACGACCTAAAAATTACAGTAGAAAAGACAGAGGTAATTATCTTAAGGGGACCACGAGATAGAAAAAACGTAAATTTTCGGTTCAGAGGCTCCGACCTAAGACCCCAGAAGACCGTAAAATACTTGGGAATCATACTAGACTACAAAATGGTATTCAGACACTACATACAAGAAGCACAATATGGACTCAGACTAAATATCACAAAAACCAAATGGATGTTAGTAAGCAAAACCTAACAACCACCACAGCAACTGATATTAGACAATGAAAGAATTGAACACGTGGATTCGTACATCTACTTGGGAACAACAGTTAACTCAAATTGGTTTACTGACGTATATTACGTATATCCTGGACTGAGCACGTGACCCACGAAGAGGTACTACGCCGGATAGGTAAAAGAGAGAGGTAGGAATACGTGACCAACGAAGAGGTACTACGCCGGATAGGTAAAGAGAGAGAGGTAGGAATAAGTATAAAGAAAAGAAAGTTTGCAATACTTGGGTCACGTTATGAGACATAATAACTATAGAGTACTACAGCTGATCGTTCAAGGGAAAATAGACAGCAGAAGGGTCCAGGGAGAAGAAGACACTCACGTGGCTCCAAAACTTGCGGCAATGGTTCGGATTGTCATCTGCTGAACTATTCAGATCTGCCGTAAACAAAGTCAGAAAAGCCATGTTGATTGCCAACGTTCGGAACGGACAAGGCACTTGAAGAAGATACAAAAAGCATGTGGGAAGGCGGAAGAGAGGACCTCGACCCTTAATAAGATAATGCCGAATATAGGCCCACAGGGTCAGACAAAAGATCAGTTATCCTACAGTCAATCATGTCCATCTTACTATATGGGACCCCAGTGTGGCATGAGATTCTCAACAAAGCAAAATATAAAGACATGCTTCTTAGGACACAGAGGAAACCATTGATCAGGGTATGCAGCGCGTACAGAACCGTATCAACCATTGCCTTACAAGTAGTGGTCGGTGCTGTACCGTGCATATCCTGGCTAATAAAATGGTTCGGATGCACCAAAGGGGCAATGGAGCTTTAGGTTTCAGGAACCACAAGAAAGAAAAAGGAGTTTGGGGATCTGGCAGGACCAATGGTCAAGGGAAACAGACAAGGCTGCCTGACGAGGGCCCTTATCCCAGATGTAGTAAGGTGGTATGAGTATAAACACAATAAGTAGTGTCAACTACTACTTCACCCAATTTATGACGGGACATGGATCTTTCCGGTCTTATACATATAGAATAAAGTAGAACCGAGGACGATCTGTGTCCCGAGTGTGGAGTGGTGGATGACGCGCATCATGTGGTATTCGTATGCCCTGCATACAATGTGGGGCGAACCTTGCTGCAGCTCAGCCTGGGGTCACGTCTAGGCGAGCCACATGAACTAATAAATAAGCAGTTGGAAACAAAAGAATCTTTGACTTGATCATTGGTTTTGGGACAGAAACCATAAAACACAAGGAAGAGAAAGAGAGGAGACTGCAACAAGGGTGAACTCTTTATTTTAATGTGTCGTATCTGTCGGCGTCAGTGGAGTGAGCCACTATTCAGTTTCCACTACTGATGCCGAAATCTTAAATTAATTTACACAATTTACATACGTGTTGTTTTGTTTTGTTTTTACTCTACTTGTATCTATGTACGGTGTGTGTCTCCTTTTGGAGCAGCCTATTACTAAGTAATGGCTGGTGTAGATGGAGAAATGAATGTACCACCCCCCGCGGTGGAATATGAATGTCTGGAGTTGCTTGTAACTGTTTACTGACCTTTCTCGTTAAGTTCAAGATGGTTGAAATAGCGGAGCGGTCGCTCCTTCCTGCCTATCGCTCTGCACAAGGATGGTTACCTTACAGACCAAGTCCAGTGCAGACATGAGTAGGGTGGCGCGACTGGGTTGCTATGGCAATCACGGAGCGCAGATGAAGAGCGACAGATGGTAGGCGGTCAACTACGATAAGACGTAGTCGTCCGAATCCAACACATCTAGGACACCTTCCCAGAGGTCTTTTGAAGATTCTCACCTCCCAAAAAAAACATAAAAAATGATAACCATTCCTATAGAAATTGAACATCAACATATCAAGTTGGTTAATAAACTGTTTAAAGTTGCTGGTTTCAGGAAGTCGGTAAATAGAGAGAATATATATAAATCCCTTTGTATTTGGGTTTTTTATTCTTCCACAACAGATTTCATACACACCCTCTATACACAAAGTATTTACATTTATTGATTCTATGACAAAATGCTTCTTCTTCTCCTTTTTGTATAGACATAACTGTCTGTTTTTCAATGTGCCTCCAGTAAGTTGTCATTCCATCGTTTTCGTGGTCTTCGTACTGATCGTCTTCCTATTGGGGAACCGTCTCTTGCAGTCTTTACTACTCTATCGGTTGTCATTCGGCTTATATGATTGTTACATTCTACTCTTCTATTCTATTTCTTACTCAGTTTTTGATGTTCTCCACCTTGCATCTATATCGTATATCTGTACTTCTAGCTCTGTCCCATAGCACAGAATAATACACAATCAGAATGACCACTCTCAGATGCCGCCTTTGAAGTTTTTCAGCGCGCGCCATGTTTTAGAAGGAAACACATAACACAGACATATGATTTGTGAGGTTATGTAATTGTTTATATTTATGTTTAAATTTATGTTATTATATTTAACAATGTTAATATAATTGTATAGTATGTCTATGATTGCCGTAAGTCAATTAAACCGGGTTAATTTTTCTATGCACACCACATAAACAACACTGGTTCCTCTAAAACATGGCGGAACGTCTGCGCGAAGGAAATGCGCGTACTTAATTTTCCATTGAGAGTGGGAATTCTGATTGTTTATTATTTTGGAATAATATTATTCTGATTGTATTTTTTGGGAAAATTAACATGTTAAATTTTTTGGCGGTTACATTAAATTGGTGCAGAATACCTTGTAAATCATCTTCATTTTAGAGAGTAGTATTGCGTCGTCTGCATAGCAGATTCTTTTAAGTTGTATTTCTCCCATTTGGTATCCTCTTTTAGTTCTTACTTTTTTTTATTATTTCATCCATAATCAGGTTGAACAATACATGACTCAGGGAATCTCCCCGTCGTATCCCATTGCCAGCTTCAAGAGGGTCGGTTAGTTCTTCTACTTTTACTTTTATTGTGTTGTTTTGGTAGATATTTTCGATCGTTTTGATTATTCCTAGAAGTATCTCTCTTGCGTACAATAAGTGGATACCGTCTTTTAATATGACCCGGTCAAATGTCTTTGTATGGTCCACGAAATATAGATATGCCGGTTTGTTGTATTCTAATGGTTTCTCTTGCACTTGTCTCATTATAAATATAGCGTCTATGAAAAAATGCATAGTGGCGAACTTTGAAAAATCCTATTTCGGATACTGTAAATGCTGAACACTTGCACCAAACGTCATTTTGAAGGGAAAAGTAAGTGTTTTTTTCTGTAAAGCAGTGACTATAGTTGTGGGATAAAAAAAATTCATTTTTAAATATATTTTTGTCAAAAAAAAAATATTTATTCAAATCAAACTTCAAATGGTGACCTTTCGATAGAATATTTAATTTCGAACAACTTTTATGTAGATATTTTATATTTACAAACAGTGCAGAGAATTCACCTAAATGCACGATAGTGCATAGGGACCTTTGAATGGTAGTACTCCGCGTATAGTAGTACATATTTGGGAGGAACATATGAATAATAAAAGCCCTTTAACGTTGTAGTTAATAGTAATAAAATGTTTTTAATCTGCGCTGTACCTACACAAATTGAGTTCCCTTCAGGGAAAAGAAAGACATTTTATTACACTGTTCTAGAGATAAACGAAAATACCTTGTATGATACAGCATTTTTATTTCAAGATTTTTCAAATTATTAATATTTATAAAACAACCGGTTCAACCTTGAATTTTATCTCGAGAATCAGATGGGGTCTAAATTGCGGTGTACCTCACACTATTTATCATTATATAATCAGAGTAGTTTGAAAACAAGAGATCGCGTTTATTCTATTTCGTAAATAAAGTTGAAAATGATCGTGTTACTCATTGCTGCAGTTGTAGCTTTGGCTTATATTTTTTACCGGATAAATAAAAAAGATGACACATTTTGGAAACACATCTTAGCAATTCCGGGACCCAAGTCGTATCCTATTTTTGGAACGGAGATCCATTTTGACTCTGCAGGTAAATATAAATATGCAATTAAATATTTAATCAATATTATAACTGGAATCCGCTTTATAAAATTTCAGTTGCGAAACTAAAACAATGTTTTTTTTGTAGATGTCATAAAAATTATTTCGCATGTTCATAATATTTGGATATTTCTCCGAATCAAATTGTTTTTTTTTCTGCAGATGTGTCAAAATTTGTATAGCGTAAAAAAAATTTGATATTTTGCTAATGATGATATTTCTCGCAGTTTTTCTGATATTAATTTTTTTGAATTGATGATTTTATCAATTATAAATACATTTTTGCAATTTTATGTTAACATTGACTTGGTGAAATCTGATAATCCTATTTAATCTAATACAACAAATTTGCTACTAAAAAAGCATCATCATTCTCTGTGTCTTTATTCTTATGCGGCGTCGGCTTCCCTAATTACAGTTCTTCATAAGTTTATATCTTGGGCAATACCAATATCAATCTTTTTTATCGATATGTCCTGTCTAAGCGTCTTCCCAGGTCTTCTTTGACCTTTCTCTCCTACTCCTTCCAGGAACCAGCAGATCAGCAATTTATCGTATTGCTCGATTAACTTCTCGACGTTTTACATGCCCAAACCATTTTAACATATGCTCTCTGCACTATAGAGTGCCGTTTCTCTGCGGGGGTTGGCAATCATAATGGCTATTTTTATTTTTAAACTTGCTGCTCTAAACAAATCAATCGATCTGCATTGATACCAATCACGTAGATTCTTCAACCATGAGTTCTGCCTTCGGCCAACAGATCTTCTTCCTTGAATCTTTCCTTGTATTATGAGTCTCAAAATTTCATATTTTGGTCCCCTCATCATGTGGCCTAGGTATTCCAGTTTTCTGGTTTGTTTAGTGGTGATTAGTTCTGTTTATCATATTTTGTTTCCAGTTCTTCTATCTCTTTACATTGTTTCATCAAATGGATTTCCTTAACTATTTTGATTTTTTCCTTAATTATTTGTTGTATTTCTTATTACTTCTGTAGATCTTTTCCTCTATATTTCCTTCTTTCTTCCATCAGTAATAGTATTTCTTCTGTCATCCGCTGTTTTTTAGCCTCTGACCTATCTTTTATAAAACTTTCTTGAGCTGGTTAAGCTACTTCTAGACTTCCCCTAATATACTCATTCTTAATTTTATCATGTTGTATCGCTTCACTCATCTATCTAAGCATTCTAATTTCCACTGCATGCATTCGTTGTTCCTCTTTCTTTTTAACTTCCCACCATTCAGTTCCGTACATCATAGACGATATTTTTTTATTATTATCATAACAATCTAAGGGTACTTTGTACTACAATCTGACCAGGAAGATCAATGAGCAGTTCTATTAAAATCTAAATTGTTACAGTTGTCATTTTAAGAAATATAGTTCCATTCAGTAATGTTTCTATAGGTACTAAGTTACAGTAATATTAAAACTTTAAACAGGGTATCACGCTAGCACCAAACTCTGTTTTTACACTAACTATTGTCACAAACTCGAAGGGTTTTGTCCCCTTGAGCCTTGACGTTGTTCACCAAACACCATGGAGCATCAACACTGTTTCAGAATAGTATTCTGAAACCTCTATATTACTTTAATGTTTGTTTTACTAGCGTAGTTCCAGAGCTGTGCGCCATATTGGTCTTAGTATTTGATTGTAAATCAGTAGTTCGTTTTCAATGTACAGTTTAGAATTTCTTCTAAGCAGCCAGTTCATCTTTTTAAATTTTATGTTGAGTTCTTCTCTGTTTTATAGGTGAAATTTTTATGCACTGATTTTGCTCCAATTAATTTTATTTCTCCATTTTTTGTCCAAAGAGATCTGCTGTTTTCTTGAAACTTTTTCACGGTCTACTTCAACTGATAGGATAGCTTGATTTTATATTTATTTTATAATACGTAGAGTAGCGACTCCAATATACTACCTTATACAAGCATACTTTACTTCCAGTGCATGAATTGTTGAATATTCAACAATATAAAATTCAATCCAAAAACCAATTAAGAGCTAAACGCAAAGCAGTCAAAAGGTTATGTTATACTTAACACAGAGTAAAGCGGCATATACCTGCGTAATGTACAAGCGTTGCTAAAGAGAGATAGATAGACCACCGATTGAGTACACTGGGTTTCACTATTTTACTCACGATGACTAGTTTTTTTATTATTTCCATGAATATAACAACTCAGATATTGAATATTATTGTATTGGTTGTCTATATATTTTTAATTGTATTTTGATGTGTTTTGTTTTACAACAAATAATTTTTAGCACCATTTATCGTCCCGCCATGTTAATGGACTTTAAAAACATTGCAATCCATTCAAGTCGTCGCTCAATATAACTGTGTCATATATATATATATATATATATATATATATATATATATATATATATATATATATATATATATATATAAAATTACATTTAAAGTTTCAGAGTTCATATTTTGTAATAATAAATGTTCTAAGAGAGAATATAAGATTATCAATATAAACACTAGAAAAAACAATGGGACAGTCTAGTTAAAAAACACTTGTAACTAATATAATCCACGTGAATCTTGAATTTTGTTAGATGGTAGATATTGGTTATCAAGAACATGTAGCAATATTAAGTGAAAACGAGAAGTCTGATTAAAATCATATATAGAAATAAAATTTCTAAATATATTGACAAAATATAAATATTATTAATTACCACATTAAGACAAATTTCTCTTCTTCATCTTAAGGTACCTTCTAAATTTAAGAAAGTTGGGGATAATTACAGCAAATTGCTCTCTGAGCTATGCTTAATAATTAATGGGCCAGTCCAGTCTCTTAGGCCTGGCGCATATTGAACTTAGTTAAGGCCCAACACGCGACGAGACCACGGGCGACCCATGCATTTATTTTTCTAGCGCAGCGTATATTGAACCCAGATGTGGGCTGTCGCTGAGGCCAGTTGCTATAATGACCTCAATCGAGAAGCATTGATGATTCTGAATGAGTTTAATCAGCTTCTTTATATCCATCTCGGAAACAAAAACAAGTAAAAGTAAACAACAGGAGTAGTGGGAGTAAAACACACACGTCACGACCTACGAAAACTGTATGCTGATGACAAACCTTTCCACGTGTGTCCGGCGTGTGCATGACCTGGTCGTAGAGTGGGTTCAATTAGCGGTACCTTGTTTCTAACCGTACTTCACAAAACTGTCACATATTTCGCCAACGTGTGCTGGGCCTCGGCTGATTTTAATATGCACCTGTCCTTACACATTTCAGCAATGAACATTTTCTTTTTTCTAGACCCCTTTTTTCTTCCACTTTCGAGTAGTAGTCGTAGAGAAGTTATATTTTTCTTCTCTGTAAATATGTCCTCTCTCTCTTCAATCCTGACCCCTCAGGGGGAGTGTAGTGGTCGACGTGATGTCGTGTATTGTCCGTCTCCAGAGATCTCTGTCTCTGGTCATTTCTTTTATTCATGCATAGGTCTTTGGCATATTCCTGTAATTTGATCTATCCATCTTGTTGGGGATCTTCCTCGTGATCTTCGGCCTTCTACCTTTCTTGTATTATGAGTCTTTCCATGTTTTCTGTGTTTGCTCTCATAACATGCCCCAAAATATTTTAATTGTTGGAGATGGACTTTACTAGAGAGTCGTTGGCTAACTTTTAGCTCTCTTAAAATTGAATTATTTGTTCTGCGGTCGGTCCAAGGCATTCGTACATTCGTCTCCAACAGAAACATTTCAGTGGCGTCTATCTTTTTTCTCTCCGATTGTCTCAGAGTCCAAGATTCACATCCGTAGGTCAGTATTGGGAATATTAAGCAGTTGATCAACCTCATCTTTATCGCTCTTGAAATTTGACAGTCCTTCCATATTTTGGTCATTTTTGCTGTGGCAACTTTTGCTAGATCACATCTACGTTTAATCTCTTCTTGTAATGACCCTGTGTTTGTGATTAATGATCCCAGATATAAGTATGAGCTTACAACCTCGATCCGGTCAATTGGGGTTATGTGTGGATGATTGTTGTGTAGTCTATCAACTATCATGATCTTTGTCTTTGATATGTTTAATTGCAGACCAAATATTTGACTTTCGTTTTCGATCAGTCGTATAAGTTCCATCAGCTCTGCTTGTTTATTTGCAAGAAGGGCTGTGTCATCTGCGAAACGTAGGTTGTTTAGTTTATGACCATTTATTGAGATGCCCTTTTCCTATCCTTCAAGTGCTCTTCGCATAATATACTCACCATATATGTTGAATAATTGTGGAGATAGTATACATCCTTGTCTGACACCCCATTCTGGATGAAATTCGTTCGAAAGTGTGTCAAGTACTTTAACTGATCCAGTAGTGTGTTCATATAGTTCGGTTATAAGCGTAATTAGGTGTTGTGGTACGCCTACTTCTTTTAGTATTCGCCATAAGTGTCTCCACTTGACCCTTTCAAACGCTTTACGGTAGTCTATAAAACAGATGTATAGTGGGATGTTGAATTCCCTAGATTTCTCGATTATCTGTCTTATATTCAGCAGGGTTCTCGAGTGCCTCTACCTTTGGTAAATCCAGTTTGCTCTTGTGGAATTTCTCTTTGAAGGAATGTTTTCAGTCTCTCATTGATTATATGTAGCATTATCTTGCTGGCATGGGATATAAGAGAGATAGTTCTATAATTGTCGCATTTATGGAAGCTGCCTTTTTTATGTATGGTCGTTATTGTAGATTTTGTCCAGTCTTCAGGCCATTGTTTGGAATGCCATATTTGATTACAGAGTAGATGAAGTAACTTTACGCCGGTTTCTTCTGTGGCTTTAAGCATTTGTGCTGTTATCATATCTGGACCTGGTGCTTTGTTATATTTGAGCTTGTTGATAGCCTGTCTTACTTCATTTTCGAGTATATCAGGTTCTTCTTTCACCTCGTCAGAGATTGGCTAACAAGCTGTTGGCGTTGATCATCTTTATATAGGTCCCTGCAATACGATCTCCATGTCTC